TACGCATTCTTTATTCTGTCCCTAGCGTATGCCCTACGAGCATACGGACTCTCCGGCCTCAACCTCGGCTTTTGGGGGGAACGTCCCTATTCACATTCATCTACTCATGCATGTTAAAGCATAATTCAGCATGAATGTTCCTGCCGAGGTCTGAGCGCCAAAGACTATACTTTCTTATCAATAAAATTCTTCTAATTATCTTTTCTCTCTGTGTGAGTTTTTCAGATTGAAATATAAAGATGCTGACATTCATATACCATCAAGCAAGGAGGATTGTAAAATGCTAATAAATAATAATGTTAACAGGAAACAGGAAGAAACTTCAAAAACAATGTGGCTGATACAAGAAAAACAGGAAGAAACAGGAGAAATGAATCAACCGTTTCACATTGCAGAATAGGTCATACAGGTTCAAATAATTGACTTAAATTAATTCGAAACATGTGACAGGTGCGTGGGAACGTTGTAACTTCCCTGGAACTGTAAAACGTGTTTGTGAAATTCCCTTCATATGAAAATTAAAGGACAAAGTATACTTTTGAATATATTTTTAGACTGAGTAAATTTTGTTTTTGAAAACTACAAATTTATTAAAGAGAATTTTGTTTTTTGTTGCTTTTTTTACTGTAAATCTCTTGTAGAAACTCCAGTCCAATTGGTGGCGGTGATGACCTTTGAAGTTGTTCTACTACCATCATAAAACACAAGAAGAACAACAAGAGACAACCAATATGTGTACTTGTGCGTGTCACTACCCGATCCTTCCCGGAGCACAATCCGTCCTGCGCATGCTAGAACATATGTTCATGGGGGTGTTCATAAACACTGTAATTATGGTACTAAAACTACTTATTACTATCCTTAACTCACAAAAGAATGCTAATACACATCTTTAAAAAATGTTTTATAAAATATGTGAGTCAATTTTTAATGCTTTTAAAAAAAAATTTGTTAAACTGCTTCTCTGACGTCATCATCAGACATGTTCAGAGCAGTCAGGCAAAATATGATTAAACCATGTTTATCTGCATTTTAGTTGTTTCTTTCTTTAGATTACGCACTATATAGCATAAGGCTAAAACGAAACGAAAACATAAAACTAAAAAAGACTTAAAAGATTTATGTTTAAACCCAAAGCTGAAAAAGTTAGCCACCGAAAGTAGCTTTGGATCCCATTTCCGGTGCAGATTGGGCAGAGACGACTGATAAAACAGAAAGGATTTTAAGGCATTTATTTTCTTAGGATATACATTGTTAACCTTTAACACATTATATTTTAGTATGTTTACTATTTTTGGTGAGGAAAAACGTAATTTAGGTATTTTTAACAAAATAAAATCCAGGACGACCCGGATGTGCAGAACGGATGGTGCTTTCGGGACGGACCGCGAATGGGCAAAGTCTGCAGATGTTGTTCTCGCCCTCCCTATTTACCGAGTATCACTGCATGAAAAGTGGGATTTTTGTCAATATATGCATCAGACAAGACTTGTCAATTCCTGAGATTGACAGCTGTCCCAGCATGCACTGCGGCAGCATCAGCTTCCAGGTTAGCTCTTACAGAGCTCAGAGTATTAAGTTAAATGTTTTATTTTCTGTTGCTGTTGTTCAATAAAAGTGTATTTTAAGATAATTTGAGGCGAGAACATTATACTTTTGAGTGTCACTATATGGCCCATTTACAGTACCGATTTAACCCTGTAATACCAAATGTATCATATTTGATACATACGGTTTCTAAAATGTTTTGCGTCTGACACCTTTTGCATAATTTAATGGTAAAAACTTTGCTCAAAATCCTATTGTACACAATCAGATATACCTGATAACAGAGGACAGAAGACTACACAAAAAATAATCTTGACTTATCGCACAGTAATAAATTCTTAATATCAAAAATGTATTTCTGTTTTTTTCTTTTGACATATTTTGTTAAAAGGCCAAATAAGGACAAAGCAAAAAAAAGTAATTTTCTCTTTTGTTTTATTCTTGGATCGGGCTTTAAAGGGTTAATACTAAATGAAAAAAAATTGTCAAAGTTGAGAGGACCGTGGCAACCAGCGGACTTCCGAGGGTAACAGCAGCCAGGTCTCATCATAGCCCGTCTGCAGCAGCCCTCTCTCAGCCTAGCCGTGTGTGAAGTACCGCTGGCTCTGATGGCGATTCTTTTATTTTATTTGGCAAAATGTTCATTTGATTTGAGTTTATCTGACTGTGTTAACTATTATTCCCCCAATAAATATAAAAAGTAGCAATTTAATATTATCTAGAGACTATTAATAATAGGGGGTGATATGCAGCTCCAGACGAGCCGAGCCTGTGGTGACGTTACGAGTACGCTTCTGTTCCAATTGACCCATATTTATGCTGCGTGCTCCCGTTCTCCCCAAGTCCATATTTTTCTGTGTTCTTCTCAAAAACATACTTGATGAGGACACAAGAAAATCCATTCTAGCTGCTAAATCACTTTATAGAGTGGGGAATATATAATGGACTTTGTAGTGAACTCCGTTAACTGGCGGTTCGGACAGATGATCACTGCTTTTAGCTCCCTGTTGGTCATGCACAGTGTTGTTTTTGACAGCCATCTTTGATTAAGTCTTAGTTTCCACTTCAGGAAAAAAAGGTTTTATGAGTTTTAGTCACATTTTAGTCATTACAATATGTGATAGTTTTAGTGGGTTTTGGGACTCA